CAGCGCATTTTATGGAGGACTGTTTCCTGATCCTGGTAGATTAGACTACAATGCAGTACGTTTTTTATATTTAAAGAATTGGTCACTGACGATTCAAACGTGAGTTTTGAGCAGTGTAGAGTAGCGCTTGTTGTTTGTCATTTCTCCGATCACAAATGCAGACAGGGTTTTATGTTTATGCGGCGCGATGCAACGCAATGCGTAAAAAGACAGTATAAGTCATTATAATCCATAATTATGTTTCCACTGGATGCAACAAATGCCTCGTTTATAATGGGTTGTAATGTTTTATCTCGTCGCTCCGGCCGGACACGGCATCACAGTATGGTGAGGGGCGTATCATTTCCGTCTCACGCTTGAGGTATTCGGCCAATCACAACGCACTGGATAGCTGGCCAATCAGAACACACCTTACTTTTCAGACCTATGAGCTTTGTAAAAATCAAGGCGTTTCAGAAGGCGGGGCATAGAAGGAGAAACAATAATGTACAGTATGTGGAAAATAATGTGTTTTTTGAACCTTAAACCGCATAAACACATTTCATTACACCAAATACACATAATGTTCTTTTTTAGCAACATCATATGACCCCTTTAAAGATTAAGTGGATATTGAATTAAATGTTTGGTCAATATTAAACAAGGATTTGATAGTCCTGTAAGTGTAACAGCAGCAATTACCAGGCCTTTGGCACCCTTTGCAGGCATCTGTAAATTGTTTATTTATTTTGTACTACATTATGTAGCCCATTTTAACAGTGTTGTTCAATGAAACCATATGATTATTATTAATTAACCAATCATTATTGCCTCATTGTTTTTTATATAATGCATTTTAAGTCATTTTAAAGGCTGTTGTTCGCTTAGGTCTGTCTTTAAAAAATCGGATTACTTCTTTGTTAATTATTATTTGAAGTAACAAATCCCATGGATAATTTATGGTTACCATGGCTACAAGAACCATGATTTTTTTTTCGTAGTAAAACCACGGTTAATATTCGTAAGGGAACATGGAAACTCAGAGAGAATATTAAGGCAAATGCGTTGGTGGCGGTGAAATTGTAAATTGTTTATTTATTTTGTACTACATTATGTAGCCCATTTTAACAGTGTTGTTCAATGAAACCATATGATTATTATTAATTAACCAATCATTATTGCCTCATTGTTTTTTATATAATGCATTTTAAGTCATTTTAAAGGCTGTTGTTCGCTTAGGTCTGTCTTTAAAAAATCTGATTACTTTGTTAATTATTATTTGAAGTAACAAATCCCATGGATAATTTGTGGTTACCATGGCTACAAGAACCATGATTTTTTTTTTTTCGTAGTAAAACCACGGTTAATATTCGTAAGGGAACATGGAAACTCAGAGAGAATATTAAGGCAAATGCGTTGGTGGCGGTGAAAGAATCCCTGGGCTTTAAAGAACTCGGACCCAGCTCGCACAAAAGCAGAGGAATAGCATGGAAAAGAGCAGGGGTATGGTTTCAGTATCAGAAGCTTTACTATTAAAGGCTTCATTCGTTCATTGGTAATGATTAAACGGGAAATCGTGCACTTTCTATGTGTATGTTGCGTTAATGTTAGACCGTTACAATCCATTTCTTTATGAACGAGGGTGTTTTCGTACATCTTTCTTTGCGCAAGTCTTGCGTTCTGTTTGCAGATTGAATTGCTTCTGTATGGCTACATATGCGTCAAACTGAAAACTGCTTTTTTAGGGTCGTGTCACGAGCATTGCGTTTTACGTAGCAAAACAGTCCAACTTAAAAAAAAAAAAAAGCTCTTCTGGAAACAAGAATTAGGCTATATAGGGTTCAGCTCGCGCGGTCTTAGAATCAAGCAACGTACTAAAGTTTTTGCCATATATTTGTGTTATGTAGATCTGTATTTTGTCTAGGCCTATATAATGTTTTGTCAGTGTTCCGTCAGAGAATGATCCTATAGCTCGACCAGCGTATGGTTACTCGAGCCGATTTCTGTTCGTTCTCAAGCATCTGAACTTTGGTGGGTTTGAAACCCATGACTACGATTTCTCATAGACAGACCCACTATACGTTCTGTATATTCAGTTTCACCAGGTGGTCAGAATAGCAGCTGTCATTTTAATAAGTAAATATATTTTATGATTATCTTGGTATGTGAACCCACATGCTATCTCAGTGTTTTGTGTCTGATTACATTATTAGCCTGATCCTGCATTTCAAACAGGGTGTTGTTGGTGTCTTTTGCAGGAGCTGTGCTCAAAACCACAATTCATCGTCGGTGGAGCTACACGGACAGATATCTGTCAAGGAGCTCTAGGTAAAAGATTAAAATCATTCATCCACCTGCATGAAACAAATGTTGAGATTCTTTGTTAATCCTCCTGGTTTGACTAAAACTGAAGAACCTGTTCATTTCACACACTGAATCACAGATCTCTCTCGCTCTCCTCTTCTTAATTCTTTAAACACAGGATACCTGTAAGTCAATACTGTGTGCTAAACGTTTTAACTGCCTCAACCAGAAAATTAGCTTATAATAGCACACTGTGAAAAATGTTCTGTCAGGTAACATAAAATGTGCTTCATTGCATGATTCATTATAAAAGGCAACTAATTATTTACATCATTACTTTGAATGGAAAGTAAACATTTGCACCATCATCTGACTGGGACGCTGTCCTTGCTTATCTTAAAAAATGTTTACTTCAGCAGTGCCGTTTTGGGATCTAAACCTGTATTTAAGCCACCAATATAGTTTTTAAACAACAACAAATAGGCTTTAACTATAAAAATGGGGGTTTTAAAGTGGCATAAGTGCATTTATACCTGAATGTTATATTTTTGGTGTGAATAGACTGAAAAAAGGAGTAAAACTGGATTCCACTGAATTGATTTGTTTCTTGGATGTATAATGATGGTGTTAATTTACGTGTTACTTTACTCACTACTTTGATAAACCAATTCGATTGCATAATGCACATTAACTCTGGTGAGGCCCATTATTAATTCTACGAAGCTTTAACAATCAGTTAAGTTCATTGTGAACATTGTGAACAAGCAAACACACACAATGTAATTCCTCGAATAAGGGTGGGTCAGGATTTGAAGGATGCTTTTAACATAGCGCTCATTCCAGTGTGGTTATTGTTAACTCAAACTAAAACTTAAAAAAAAAAGAGTGTTTTCTCAAACTGAAATAAGATGAAAATAAAACAGAAATATTAGATGGAAAAGAAAAGAAAAAATGCAAAATAGAAATGTTGCCAACTAACTGAAATAAAAAAGCTGAAATACTAAAATGACTAAAACTAAAATGAAATAAATAAACAAATATAAGTTACATTTAATTTAAAAACAATTATAATTAAAAATTATACAACAAAATTTAATAAATTATTATTTTTTTAAATAAAAAAATAAAAGCTGATTAAACTACTGGTAAAAAATCAATATCTATCTATCTATCTATCTATCTATCTATCTATCTATCTATCTATCTAATCTATCTTGATACACTTTCCAAAAGCTTAAACAGTTTGGAGGACTTGGAGCACCCAACTTCTATCTCTATTTTGTATCTCATCAGTTAGTTTATATTCGACACTAGTAATTTTTGTAACTTTACCCTCTCCTTCAATACATAATCTCACTTTCTTTTGCCCCATTCCTTCCTGTTGTTGTGTTTACCGCTGACTGAATGGCTGAGCCAAACACATAATACAAACCATCCAAAAGCTAGAAACTAGCCAGAGGGGTTTTGCACACAACCGCTTTTGTTATTAAAGGCTGCAGTTAAAGAGAGAAGAACTTGGCTGTATTTCTCCTGTAAAGTCTTGCATTAGAAACATACACGTACACTTAATGCGATACATGTGGCAGACTGCAGGAAAAGCAGCCTGTTGTCTTTTGAGGAGGGCAGATTCAAGTCTCAGCATTTTCTACACGCATCTGCTTTCTTAGATTTGCAGCTCAACACTTGGCGTGACACGAAAACCACAATGGAGTTCATTGGCTGAGTTTAATTTGCGTCCCTCGAACTGTGCCTGTTCTTGCTTGTCTGCAGGCGTTTTGAATGTCAAACATTACAAACGGCTGTCAAAGTTTAATTTTGCAATCCAAATGCAAGTATATGTAATTTAATTTCCATATCTATTGAAGATTTGAGTGAATGCAGGCCTATATGTGGCTGTTTCAGCTACAGACCACAGAGCGGTTGTAAACATAGTCACAGTCTCACTTCCTGTCTCGCCGTCTCTCAGGTGACTGCTGGCTGCTAGCTGCCATTGCTTCTCTGACCCTGAATGAGGAAGTTCTGGCACGAGTGGTGCCTGCTGGACAGGGTTTTGGTGACAATTATGCTGGAATCTTCCATTTCCAGGTGTCTGCAAGTTACACTGTTACATTAAATGTGGAACTTTGCATTATAGTGTTAGCATGCTGATGACCAACATGGACATTATTTTTGTGAAGTGGTTTGTTGCTCAGTGCTTTTATAATTATATTAGTATTCAAAAATATAGAACACTCCTTAAAAATACTGTGGTGGTACCATGGTGCATTGATGGTATTTACTTTGTGTACATACCATGGAAACTATATTCATATACCATTATGTTTACATGCTACTCCAAGCTATTTTAAAGAATACTATTGTGATACCATGGTAGTAAATGTCCAGAAAACATGGTATTGCCATGACGAACAAACATGGTAATACTATGGTACATTTTCATAAATAAAAATAATTGTAATACCATAGTGTAGGTTCAAAAAATCATGTAAATACATAGTTAATGTCCAAAAAAAAATCATGGTACTATATAAAAACAATGTGGTAATACAGTACCTAAGGAAAATATAGTAGTACTGTAGTACATAACCAAAAACATGGAATTACCATATATATTATCATTCAAAATTTCAGTAAAAGAGTCAGTAAGAAATGAATTATTAAGCAATTTCAAGCTTTTATTCAGTAAAGATGTATTAAATCGATCAAAAGGGACATTAAAGACACTTATAATGTTAGAAAAGGTTTTCTATTCAGCAAATAATCCTGAAAAAGTATCATGGTTATCAAAGAATATGAGGCAGCACAACTGCTTTCAACATTGGTGTTAATAAAAAAAAAATTCTTGAGCAAAAACTCAGCATATTAGACTGATTTCTGAAGGATCATGTGACACAGAAGAATGGAGTAATGATGCTGAAAATTCAGCTTTGCATCACAAGAATAAATTATATATTAAGACACATTATATATAAAAAAACGTTACTTTAAATTGTAAAAAATATTTCACAATATTACTGTTTTTACTGTATTTTTGATCAAATAAATGCAGCCTTGGTGAGCAAAAGTTACTTCTTTCAAAAACATAAATTTAGTAATATCTTAGTATATGTCTAAAAACATATGAAAAAAATCTAAAAAAGTTTTTAAAAAAAAGTAAAAAAGTATAGGTGGTATAGTATAGGCGTCCAAAAAAAACCTTTTTGGTGCATTTTGCTTGCTGCTCTTAATGCAGAGTTTGACTCTATAATGTTTTACATTTTATATATGGGTGTCATTGCAGTTTGACACACTTTTTGAGACTGAATAGATAATGTGAATCTGTACACTTTACCTCCATCTTTTAGTTCTGGCAGTTTGGTGAGTGGGTGGATGTTGTCATTGATGACCGGCTGCCGGTGAAAGATGGCGAGCTGGTTTTTGTTCACTCTGCCGAGGGAAACGAGTTCTGGAGCGCCCTGCTGGAGAAGGCCTATGCTAAGTTAGTGTTTGTGTGTGTTGTTTCTTGTTTTCTTTTGTCTTTTTCTGTGTATTCACAGCAGTTATGTTAGAACTGCTTCAACCAGAAAGTCAGCTTATTCTTGGAACATGCTTTCTAAGAACAAACAATAGTATAATCCTTTGTTTTCTTTAGGGCTGTCAACTGATTTGAATTATTACCCACAATCATTTTTTTTTCTTTTTCAGAATTGTGGCAACAAATTCAGTTTTAATGAGTTCAGTATTTATAATTTTTAATTTGTAGAATTTTAAAAACTTTCAATTTACTATATTAATATATTTGCCGATTGGACAATTCTATGCAATGGAGGCTCCACCAGTGAGGGTTTTGAAGATTTCACTGGAGGCATCGCTGAGAGCTACGAGCTGAGTAAAGCGCCGTCCAACATGTTTCAGATCATCCAGAAAGCCTTGGAGGCTGGAGCTTTGCTGGGCTGCTCCATCGACGTGAGATTCCTCTGCCTGTATTTGAATTGAAGTTGGAATTGCATAATTATTATTATTGACCAATCAGCAATCCCTTTTGGGTCACAAGCCCCGCCCATTTTCAGATAGCCCTGTTTTATTTTTAATTCTGTGATGTAGATTACTAGTGCTGCTGATTCAGAAGCCGTCACCCGCCAGAAGCTGGTGAAAGGCCACGCTTACTCTCTAACGGGGGTGACCGAGGTATGAATAGAGTTATTGGCAGACCTCTTTTTTCAATAATATAATGCATTTTAGCATTAGAGTACATTGTGCTTTGTCTTAGGTGAACTATCGTGGCCGCAAGGAGAAGCTGGTTCGTATGCGTAACCCTTGGGGGCAGGTGGAGTGGACCGGAGCCTGGAGTGATAGGTACGGTTTCATTACCGCCAGCACCAGAGATACAATATAAGTTCTAAATATAACTGAAATAGCAAAAAACTGTTATTCAGAAATTATAAGGTAGCAACCATGCAATATTGGCTTTAGGATTAAAATGGTTGTTGATGAAGGGTTTTTGGATTTTGTTAATAACAAGATGAGAAAAAATGTCTGATGCAATCATTTTAATTAAAACAATCTGATGATAAACAGTGGGGCAACAGCAGTGGGTCTCATTTACTAACAACGAGTATGCATGAATTTGTTCGTGAAATCTGAATATGAACGTTTCCAAGAACAAATCATGATTCATCAATAACATAGAAAACTATTATTCTAAATTTATGAAAAAATTTAGTAACAACTGAAACCACACATATCAATTAAATCACATACTCAAATAAAAAATCCACACAGTTATTAATGAATGAAATCCAATGTTTATTCAATATTATTTCAGGAGGTAGTTTTTGTCAAATGTTGGTACATATTAAAATTATTGAAATCAATACTAACTGAGTCAATAATAAGTAAGGTCATTCACATATACAAGTCTTAAAGGTACAGTACAAATAAAAGTTAAATTTTAAGAGTAAAATGCGCTTGACTATTTGGAACATTCTGACTGTGGACAAAAGTATACGATATGGCCTGTGTGAATTCTGTTGAATTCATAGTTTTAATGGACATTGATTTGGAAATGATAGCATCACTGAACTGCTGATGGTTATCTTTTTCGTTCCTTTAGTTCATCCGAATGGAACAGTATTACTGCTTCAGAGCGGCCGAACGCCAACGCTGAGGATGGAGAATTCTGGTGCAGTTCCCGAACTTGTTTATCTATGGATCTAGATTTAGTGCAACTGTAATCTAGATACTTGAATTTTAAATTCAATATGTATTCTCTGTCTGTTCAGGATGTCATTCTCAGAGTTCCTTAGCCATTACTCTCGTATAGAGATCTGCACTCTGACCCCGGACGCCATCACCAGCGATTCGATTAAATACTGGGCCGTGTCCAACCACGACGGCACATGGAGGAAAGGCTCCACCGCTGGGGGTTGCAGAAACAACCCTTGTGAGCACAAAAAAAACACAAACACACATCGAGCATTTTTTTTAATTGCTTCATTTCAGTAGAAAAATTAATTCACATGGACTAAGTTCGGTTGGTTTGGTTTGTTTAAAAATATTGCTGAGGACTGCATCCATTCATTGAGTTTCAAGAAATGTCCAGGTAAATGTGTTTCCATCGTAGTTTATGGATACGGATTTTATCTGTACATCAGCACTACAAAGGCCCTAACTGAGTGCATATGTATCCGTATCTTAGCACTATTAAGTTTAGTTGGTTTGGTTTGTTTAATAATGTTGCTGATGGCTGCATCCATTCGTGAAGTTTTTTGTTGCGCATTGTGTAATTTATTAAGTAAATGAGTTTCCATCGTAGTTCATACGCATGTCTTCTTACCGAATAGAAAAATTATCCACCTCAATTGAGTGAATACGTTTTTTAATTCGCATTTTAATATTTTATCTGAATTTTAGCATTACAAAGTTCATTTGGCTTGTTTAATAATATTGTTGGCGGCAACATCCATTCATTGAGTTTTTTGACGCGCATCAAGAAATTTATTCGGTCAATGTGTTTCCAATGTAGTTTACGCGTCTTCTTATTGGATAGAAAAACGATCTTTCTACACTGAGTGCAAATATTTTATTTATTTGCATTTCAAGATTCTATCTGAATTTTAACGTTACAAAGTTTGGTTGGTCTGGTTTAATAATATTGCTGATGGCTATGTCCATTCATTGAGTTTTTTGTTGCGCATCAAAAAATGTATGTGGTAAAATTATTTCCAGTGTAACTTATGCATGTTTTCTTATCGGATAGAAAAATGACCTTTCTCCATTGAGGGAATACACTTTATTTATGTGCATTTCAATATTTTATTCGCATCTTAGCGTTTCAAAGAGTGTTTGGTTTGGTTTGGTTTGTAATATTGCTGATGGCTGCATCCATTCTTTAAGTTTTTTTTTGTTGTGCATCAAATAATTTGGCACATGGAGGAAAGGCTCCACCGCTGGGGGTTGCAGAAACAACCCTTGTGAGCACAAAAAAAACACAAACACACATCAAGCATTTTTTTTAATTGCTTCATTTCAGTAGAAAAATTAATTCACATGGACTAAGTTCGGTTGGTTTGGTTTGTTTAAAAATATTGCTGAGGACTGCATCCATTCATTGAGTTTCAAGAAATGTCCAGGTAAATGTGTTTCCATCGTAGTTTATGGATACGGATTTTATCTGTACATCAGCACTACAAAGGCCCTAACTGAGTGCATATGTATCCGTATCTTAGCACTATTAAGTTTAGTTGGTTTGGTTTGTTTAATAATGTTGCTGATGGCTGCATCCATTCGTGAAGTTTTTTGTTGCGCATTGTGTAATTTATTAAGTAAATGAGTTTCCATCGTAGTTCATACGCATGTCTTCTTACCGAATAGAAAAATTATCCACCTCAATTGAGTGAATACGTTTTTTAATTCGCATTTTAATATTTTATCTGAATTTTAGCATTACAAAGTTCATTTGGCTTGTTTAATAATATTGTTGGCGGCAACATCCATTCATTGAGATTTTTTGACGCGCATCAAGAAATTTATTCGGTCAATGTGTTTCCAATGTAGTTTACGCGTCTTCTTATTGGATAGAAAAACGATCTTTCTACACTGAGTGCAAATATTTTATTTATTTGCATTTCAAGAGTCTATCTGAATTTTAACGTTACAAAGTTTGGTTGGTCTGGTTTAATAATATTGCTGATGGCTATGTCCATTCATTGAGTTTTTTGTTGCGCATCAAAAAATGTATGTGGTAAAATTATTTCCAGTGTAACTTATGCATGTTTTCTTATCGGATAGAAAAATGACCTTTCTCCATTGAGGGAATACACTTTATTTATGTGCATTTCAATATTTTATTCGCATCTTAGCGTTTCAAAGAGTGTTTGGTTTGGTTTGGTTTGTAATATTGCTGATGGCTGCATCCATTCTTTAAGTTTTTTTTTGTTGTGCATCAAATAATTTATTTGGTAAAAGTGTTTAGATTATAGTTTATGCGCATATCTTCTTATCGGAAAGAAAATTTTTGCTCAATTAAGTGCATACGTTTTTTTAAGCGCATTTATGATTTTATTTGCATCTAGGGGTTACAAAGTTTGTTTAATAATATTGCTGACGGCTACCATCCATTCATTGAGCTTATTATTGCGCATCATGTAATTTATTCAGTAAATACGTTTCCATTGTAGTTATGCAGATTATAATTTACAATAACACATCTTGGTGTTATGAAGTTATGGTTTGTTTCAAAATCTTGCTGATGGCATCCATTCATTCATTCCTCAGACACATTCTGGATGAATCCTCAGTATGTGATTAAGCTGAATGATGAAGATGACGATCCGGATGATAATGAGGTGGGCTGCAGTTTCGTGGTGGGTTTGATCCAGAAGAACCGCCGCCGTCTGAGGAAAGCGGGAGAGGACATGCATACTATCGGCTTTGCTATTTATGAGGTAGGTGGAGACACAAGGAGCATCTAAACGTGATTATGATGTATGGAGAAGAAATTAACATAATTCCAGACTCCAGACAACATATCTATAACTTCAAATCAACATTTTCTTTTTGTTTGTTTCCACAGTTACCTTCGCAGGTAAGAGTTTAACTACAAAGAGGGGCGTGGCATTTCTTTTGACCAATCATACCATTAACCGCAGCATTTCTGGCTCACTGATTGGCCATTGTCTCCGTCAGTTTCACGGTCAGCGCGACGTACACCTCGATAAGAACTTCTTCCTGACGCACGCACAGAAAGCTCGCTCTGAGACTTTCGTTAACCTGAGGGAGGTCTGCACGCGCTTCAAGCTGCCGCCAGGAGAGTACCTCGTTGTCCCGTCCACCTTCGAAGCCAACCAGGATGGAGACTTTTGCCTGCGCGTCTTTTCCGAAAAACAGACCGAAACACTGTAACGTATCTCACCTATATGCCAGTATGACTGTATATATTTTTATTTTGTATACTTGATTCTGAATTTGATTGCATAATCTTATGTTTACTCCTAGACCATGTGATGACCCTGTGGATGCTGAATTACCTGATGTAAGCAACTCTCACGATTGCAAAGCTCTTAAAAGTCAACAGCAGAAAATTGGAATATCACACAAAACATTTGCGAATAAAACACTATTTCCATCCCATGTGTTCAAGAGAACAAAATCAGCACCTCCTAGGAAACTGGTGCAAAGTACAAAACTAAAAATGAACGAAGTTTCTTTTCCACTTATCCGATCACATGATCTGTTGAGGCAAAGACACTTGAGTTTTTTGTTTTGCATCGAGAAATTTATTTGGTGAATGCGTTTCCACACATTTCCACAGTTTATGCGCATGTCTTGTCGGATATAGAAATGATTGACCTCAATTAAATGCATACATGTTTTATGAGAATTTTTCACTGCTACAAATTATTAATGCTGAATTTCTAAATAAATTTAATTAGAAATATTTTTTTATAATATTAAGAATAAATATAATAATAATAACAATGACTACTACTAATAATAATTCATGAATAAATAATAATAATATTAGTTTTGGTGGTAATCAACATATTGCCAAAAGGTCTTATTGAACCTGGAGCATTTTTTTTAACTGTACTTCCTCTTGTTTCCAGGAGTCTGTCTCAGACGACGAAGTTGATTCTGGATTCAGAGGCATGTTCGTAAAACTTGCTGGAGCTGTAAGTAGTGACGACTTGTTATGCAGTAAACACTTATATCTTTTGAAAAGCAGAGCAACTGATGCATACTTCTCTCTATAGGACATGGAAATCTCAGCCACAGAGCTCACAACTATCTTAAACAAAATCATCGCGAAACGTAAGTACTCTTGCATCCTTTAGTTTCCGCTCGAGATCTAAGGAGGAGTCTGAGTCTGAGGAAAGGCTTGATGTGTTCTTTTGTAGGAACTGACATAAAGACAGACGGCTTCAGTTTGGAGACGTGTCGTATCATGGTGAACCTCATGGATGTATCCTCTCAGCTGCAACTGCTAACGTTTTGCTGTTTGTGTTAACGTGACGTATGTGCTTGAGCCGGGAATTACAGGAATCTGGTGTGTTTTTGAGTTGTAAATTTCCCTTAACTGCATCTCAGGACAGTGGGAATGGAAAACTGGGTTTGGGAGAATTCGCTACTCTGTGGAAGAAAATTCAGCGATACCTTGTAAGAGATCCACCAGATGCCTTTAACACAATTATCCATTTAAATGATTTCTAAATGTCATGACATGTTGCTCCATTTTATAATAACCCCAGGGAATTTACAAGAAGAATGACATGGATAATTCAGGAACCATAAGCACTCCAGAAATGCGCTTGGCGCTGAAAGAAGCCGGTGAGTCTCAGATACCCACACATATACAAACAGAAATCATTGTGGTGGCATATTATAATATTCACTTTTGTTCTCTTTCCTCTTCTAGGTTTCACTCTTAATAACACTATATTTCAGCTACTGGTAGCACGTTACGCCGAGACAGACATGACTCTTGACTTCGATAACTATGTGGCCTGCCTCATGCGTCTGGAGATGATGTTCCGTAAGTTATTCAATATTTTGGCTAATTTAGTATATTTAGCCCTAAAATCATCATAGAAAATGTCTGCAGATTCTGTGTAGGCCTGTTTATAATAGGCCCTAGTGTAGGGTCAGGGCCCCCTGTAGTTCTGGAGCATCATTAGTGAATGTACCTCTCATTTTCAGGGGTATTCAAAAGGCTGGATCCCCACCAAAGTGGCTTCATTGAGCTGGACTTTCAACAGGTTTGTCATGCTATAACATTTTAGAAAGTTAAATAATTAATACGTTACATTTTTTAAACACATTTTCTTTGTCTTTTTAGTGGCTGAACTTCACTATGATTTAGATGACTCGTTGCCAGACCAAACCACTCAAGAGTGAATTATTATGATTACGTGTCAAATTTTTTGAAATAAGTATTTACTTTTATTTTTTAAATTGTCTATTGCACTTTTGATCTGTCTTACTTACTAAAGTGTTGCATGATTTTATTAGCCTACGTTTGACATTGCCACACTATTTTCGTTTACAAATGCAAGCATCCTTGAACAAGGAGAAACCACTGTGTAATAAAAACGTGTGTGTGCACTATTATGTGTTTTCTCTTCAAAGGACATTATTAAACACTTTTGAAACTGTACTGACTTGTATTTTTGTACACGACTGGATTTAGTAAAACGGCATTTCCGGTCCCTTTAAGGCTCTGGGAGAGGCTGTTCATTTGACCCCTCAGCTGTCAATCACTCGTTAGTTCCTCCCTCATGGGCGTGGCCGTTCACTGCGGTACCCTGATTGTTGTGTCTCATCTGCTCTGATCCGTTCATCCTTCTCTCTTTTCCGCTATTTTAAAACGCACCCGCTGGGCAGATAACAAAAGTGACAAGTAAACGCTGGTAAGTTTTGTTGTTGTTGAACTTTTCCGTGTTAACTATAGGCGATATCCGTCTGTTATTTGTCGCAGTGTGAAATCTCTGCCCTATATTTCCAGCAAGAGCCGAAACAATTTTCTTATTTTAAGTAGCATATTTCTTCAATTTCTAACGGTACTTGTGAATCTTATGATCTTATTAATTTGTAAACAAAGCGGCCACATTTTACACACAATGCACATCAACTATTATTCATGCATTTAGGGCGTGCATCATACTTGCATTATATATATATATATAAACACAAAAATATACATTCATTAATATTATTAACATTTGTAGGTTTGTCTGGGTTGTGATCAACTGAACAAAAAATGAGCTCAAACTGAATGAAATATTACAGTAATAACACTATATAAAGCAACATGAGTGAATATGTGCAGCTGTTTTTGAGGGCGTGTTCATTCATCATCTAAAACAAACACTAGAGTGCTGATGCTGTCTGGCCTATTGATTTCACATCACAAGTTGGTAATGCTTTGTTTACGTAGGCCTACCACATGATCTGTCCCATTACAACTCAAAGAAGTCCACTGGTTAAAAGTTCATTATTTTGGTAAAGTCTGTATTTGGAGAATACCTGCTGTCCTTTCATACTCTAGATTGACAGTTACATGTACTGTACATTTACACATATGCAGACAACAAAGAAGTACCATAAACTACCATGGTAAAAAAAAATTTTTTTTTTGGAGATGTACCATGGTAATGTAGTTTGAAGTACTTTGGACTGTCATGTAAATGTGATACATGAATATATACACTATGGTATATGTCAAAATACCATTGGTATTGCCATCTGTTAGCATCACAAGAAAAAACATGAATTAACATGAATTTGTGTTAGCAAATTAGCATTGAACTGATTTCTCCTAATGTTAAATATGTTTGTAAATTACCTTTTTCTCCTCAAGCCCGTGGCCCACACAAGGAACTTAAGGTATATTCACCCTCTTGTCTTTCTGTAGTTGCAGTTCCAGAAAGGAATGATAATTAACTAAATGTCCAATGCATAGTTGTCTTAGCTGGGTCTATGTGGTTTTCTTTAGCCAACGCTTAGAGAACTGCCCTCCGTGGACATTATCCTTGAAATCATGGTGCATGTAAGTAAACAGGGACTGGCAATATTTTTTCTGCAGAGATGATGGGTGATCATATTACAAGACAACATGGAATTAGCCAGTCATTAGTAAACCTCTCTCCACCCTCAGTAAGGTGCTAATCTAGTGTCTGTTGTAGAGGGCATTTCTCTCAGCTAGCTGGACTAAAAGCCGCATAAAGGCTGCTGCACTAATATTGGCAACATGGCTGACCATAAGCAAACATATGCAAGCATCATAAGCCTTTTAGCAGCGGCACTTTGCACTACATGCTCAAAGACATTGAATGTGTGCTGTCGAATGATGGTGCTATTTCTGTGCTAGCTTCAAGCTTTTTTTTTTGGTTTGTTGTAGCAGTTAAAGCTCTGGGCTTGTAATCAGAAGGTTGCTAGTTCGATTCCCACAATAACCCCATTAGCTATAATCGTTTAAAGGGAAAGTTCATCTAAAAATGACAGTTCTGTAATATTTGACTCTTCCTCATGTTGTTCCAAACCTGTGTGACTTTCTTGCTTCCATGGAACGCAAACCAAGAAGTGTGCACTCTTTTCCATGTAACAAAAAGTGAATGGGATCTCAGGGATATGGGTTTGGAAAAATATGGGATTTACTTTGGATTAAAGCAGGGCTACCCAAACTCAGTTCTGGAGGGCCGGTGTCCTGCAGAGTTTAGCTCCAACTTGCCTCAACACACCTGCCTTTAAGTTTCTAGTATGCCTAGTAAGAGCTTGATTAGCTGGTTCAGATGTGTTTAATTGGGGTTGGAGCTAAACTCTCCAGGACACCGGCCCTTCAGGACCGAGTTTGGACAGCCCTGGATTAAAGCATTTGTTTAAATGACTACTTCCTTATTTTGGTGCGCTACAGTATGTATTCAATTGGAGGAGTGTCGACGCGTATCTACAAGGAACGCCTGCAGGCAGAAGGGATGGGAACTAATGACAATGCGGTCAAATTCCTGAATCAGGACTACGAGGAGCTGAAGAGAGAATGTTTGGAGAGTGGCAGGCTGTTTGAAGACCCTTGCTTTCTCGCCGTGCCTCAGTCACTGGGCTTCAAGGAGCTTGCACCACACTCCTCCAAAACACGCGGTGTGCAGTGGATAAGGCCCACTGTGAGTGTTGGAGAGCACGGCCTATACGAACAGCACGCTAGTTACTACATACAACTGCATAGTCATTATTTTTAGCATATTTTAATACTTGAGAGGGAGTGGGAGGACAACAATTAAGGAATTACACAAGCTAGACTCGAACTCTAATTTCCCACATTAGAACTAAGGTGTAACAATGGGCTCTAACTACTAAGACAAGTCTCATGTTTTTATATTTAGCACAACTTGACACCTTAATTGATTGGGATAGAAAATAAACTATAGGAAATCAAATAAGAACAAGATTGAGAAAATACATGAGCTAGATTCAAACTCTCATTTCCCATGTGAGAACCAAGGTGTAACTTCTGGTGTTAATTACTGAGACAAGGTTCTTACTTTCATTTATTTTTACAGTTATCAGTTGTACTGATTGTTAGAGGGAAAGGCCAGGAATTTAAGTGGGAGGATCAAGATTTAGAAATTACATGAGGTAGACTCTAATTTCCCACATGCAAGCCAAGGCAAAACTATTAAAACACGGTTCCAACAGTGTAGGCAACATTTGAAAGTCAGAGTTAGGGATAGTTTAGCTCTTAAAGAGTTAAATGACCTCCTCCTTTAAAAAAATAAATAAATCAGTTTTAGCAAAGTTTAGTTTTGTTTAGCTGAAACATTGAATTCGTTATTTAAATTGTATAAGTAATATAATTTCATCGGACTGTGTATCCTTCTCGAAGCTCAAACAATATTTTCATAGCTTAACTGATAGTATCCAACCTGTACAATATACCTGTATGTACTTAGACTAGTTTCATTTGACAGTGAAAATGTCTCACAGATATAAGTATGTTTAAAGTTGTGAAATCATGCATGCAGGGTGTGTTGTTATAGACTGACAGGGACAGTAGCACACTTTGGTTGAGGTGTTGCTCTTATGCGTTGTTTGCTTGCGTAATGTTTGCAGGAGCTGTCAAACAATCCTCAGTTTATAGTGGGCGGAGCCACACGTACAGATATTTGCCAGGGGGCCCTTGGTGAGTATGTACTGTACTGTATTAGCCTGGATGTGTGCATTTGTGCATGCTTGCACACGTTAGCCCACCGAATATCAGGAGCTTTATTTGTGCTTCACTGCAGTTTGGGTGATCCTGCAGCTTAAATCTAAGCAAAACAAAGTTTGTCTGCGACCTTCACGCATTCTGTCATCGCTGTCAAAACGTTGCAACGTAAATGAAGAAACCTCATATTTTCTTCTGAACGTACCAGTTCTTATGTGCCTCTGTAGTTAAAAATAACTTGTTTAACATCATATATTTGCAGAAATATAGCAATATTGACATACGTGCTGTGGTATTAGCATGATTAGCTCATTAGCATGGATGTCACCATAATGTAATCAATATAGATAGACGGACAGATACATTTACAGATAGAAATATATAGGCAGAAATACGGGAGGATAAATGGATGGACGAATGAATGGAATGATGGATGTACTAATATACAGACAATTGGATGGATGGATGGACTGATTGACAATTGGATAGATGTATAGATAGAGGTAGATAGTGAGACGGATGGTTGGACTAATAGACAGTTGGATAATGGATGGATGGACTAATAGACAATTAGATGGATGGATGGACAGATGGATGAATGAAGGGACGGACAGATGATAGGTAGATGGATGGACTGATAGACAGACCTCTGTATAGATATACAGATAGAGGTAAATAGATAGATAGATCTTGTGTATATCACTGGAGCACTGTATCAACCAATCAGAAGCCAGAATTGGAACTACCCGTTTTATTTTACTGCATATATTATATATTTTGGGTTTTTATGAATGAGCTAATGGCAAATCCCATTAAGTCAATGGGATTGACACCTCTATGATCAAAATTTGTAGTGTTTTCTGACTCTTTTGAGAGAAGATGTGTGTTAGGGGGCAGATGAGTGTATATGTGTTTCCTGGCTGGTGGGGAGTGGTTGAACACAATGCCTGAGTGGTGAGTCATACAGTCATAAATGTAGCATTAGAGAACTCTGGGATTGGCTCATGGCATGTTTGTGTGTGTGTGAGGGTGTGCACTCACCAGTGCCAAACTAAGTGTGTGTTTGCACAGCAAACACTGGGTGGAGGAGGATGGCGGAGCTTATCACAGATATGCATTTTACCTCTCATTGAGCACACCGAAAGCCTCATGACGTGGTTCAAGCCTCAACAGCCAAAATGGGTTTGGCTTTATCAAGGGTGTTTAAGATAAAATAGCTTTCATCCAGGCTAAATGTACAATACTGAAATTGTGCTGTTATCTCATCTTAAACATTCTCCACCCCCTCTTCAGCTGTCGGTGGAGGGCTCCCACTAATGGGGCATTGTTCTAAACACAAACATTCACCACGTTCTACATACAAACATTTACTATAGTCCTAGTTTAAAAAAGTATTATAGTCAGAGGTGTAAAGAGTACCTAAAACCATACTTGAGTAAAAGTAGATACCTTACAGTGAAAATTACTCCACTACACATTACAAGTCACCAATTCCAAAACAACTTGAGTAAAAGTCTTAGAGTCTCTGATTTTTTTAACAGTACTTAAGTATTTTACTTATACTAAATATAGGCTCAAAGATGCACTAGTCAAAGAGACATGCCAGTGAAAAACTGTAACGTTGTGGAGAAGCTGCGGAAAACAGGCAGAGGCAAGGATCTATGTGCTGGTATTTCATGGGAAAACTAGAACAAACAAAAAAGGCAAAAAACAAAGGGAACAAAGAACAGAATGGCTGGCAAACAGACAACCATTACATTCAACAACTCACAAGGAACTAAAGAAAAACTAGGGCTATATATACACACAGGGGGCTAACAAGCTTAACAAGATAAGACACACCTGGGGAGACTAATCAAGGGGAACCAATGAACAAACGGACTACAAACACCACGGGAGACAGGAAGTGACATAAAAGTCCAGGGCAAGGCACATAGAGCATGAAACAAAAACAAGAAATAGTTGATTTGTGAGGAGAGCAATCACATTTATTTTCTAAAACCAAAATAAAACTGAACTCCTCAAAATTACAAAACAAAACAAAACAAACAAACAAAAAACAATATCTTTCAAAAAGGTCTCTTCAGTATAATGGATAAATAAAAATGTTAAGTAAAATTAAAAAGCCGAAGCCTTCTTGCACTGGATGTGCTGGTTTGGGCTTCATTGCTGGCTGCAGTCATGCCCACATCTCATATATAAAACATCTGTGATTCACAAATACTTGCTAAGGAACTTGCATTCACATAAAGTAGCCTTGTTGACAAGTTTGGGT